CTTTCCACAGGCAATTCTTCAAACGCATACAGCCAAAAACCGTAAAATTGGAGAAGAACAACAACGGTAACGCAGTATGCTTTTTCAGCGAATATAAATTGAGTATGGATAATTCATTAGCGCTACTTTTCTTTACAGGAAGCCGGACTTCTACCGTTTTCATGCGCCGAAATCCAACCAGAAAATCTAATGTTCATTGAACACCATTCTTCGCACTACTTGGAGTAGTTCAAGCCTTGATAAAAGGGGAATTGAACATTACTTGAAATAGTTGTTTGATCTGCTTCCACTTCCTTCTAATACTGAGTGATTTCTCAAAAGCTAAATCAGCCCGAAATAAATATTTGCTTGATCTACTTCCACTTCGTCCCAATACTGACTGATTTCTCAAAAGCTAAATCAGCCCGCCCAGATATTATATCTTAAACGCGTCTGGAAACCTTTTTCAGTGAAGTTCAAGTTAAAGCTTTCAGAAACATAGAAATACGAATGACCAACCTACGCGTTCCAGATGTTCTCAAAAAATACCGCTACTTACCGCAAGAAGTGTCGATCTTCGAGTTTGTAATGGAAATTCCGGAGTCAGACAGATGAGGAGTTTCTCCACAATAGACCGGGCTGGTGAATGTGGAACGAACTCCAAGTCCACAAGATTGTCCCAGTTGGAAGTTGACAGGGACCTGACTCGCCATGCTCATTTTGACAGTTCAGTATGGTACAGATGGTGTAACGACGTGTGCTCACGCCAGCCTGTGGCCTGAAATGGGTATGATTGACCTGGCACGAAGGTACATTGCACGATGGCAAGGGCCAGCACCCGAGGATAGCCCAAGCGTTCAGGAGAGGGACTGTCAGACGAAGAAAGTGAAGAACATGCGCGACGCCGAAACCGAGCTGCGCCGACGAATCAGAGAAGCGAGAGGTGGGGCCTTGCCATCGATCGATAAGCATGACCACCTCGAGCACTTCCGATCGCTTCCCAGTTCGCTGCCTGGAATGGAGAAAAGTAATCGGTTGGGGCCAACATGAACAATGCTCAATAAAGATTACCTTCCTTTTCTTCTTGACTTGTATTTTTCTAGCGTACGGTCAAAGACGTGCCAGCTCATTCTGTTAACACATTGCGGATAACGACTGGTAACTTGTGGTAGCTAGAAGCTACTAACCTTTGACAAGTTCGCGAAAACAGCCTCAGTGTTAGCCACC